CCATATCCTCCTGCACTAATGAAGTCTGAATATGCCTTGGAAGGGGTTAGTTATGCAATTTACTGATCCCATCTCGAACAGTGGTAAATTCACTGGTAGATATACAAACAAGAGATCATCACAAAGCCGTAAACAGGTAAGGGGTGCCCTTGCTAAATACAAGTAAGAACATGCTTCACAAAACCCACAAGTAAAAAGTTTAGAAAAGCAAGAAAAATATGTAATTAAGCCAGAGAGCAAGCCCATTCCATGGGTCTGAAACAAAGAATGTCAAAAAACTCTCTTGCATTTAAATAACTAGTATTGCAAGCTTTTGAAAGGGGCATAATTAAGGAATACACATATAGAGGAAACTCCCTTWACATATAAAGGTTTTGTAGTGGACATTTAAAAAGAATTAAACCCATGATATCATGCAAGGAAAGAACAAGCAGACTTRTTAAATTACAGCCTAAGCGGGGCAAAGGAGGAGGTTCGAGACCAGTGGGCTCAGCTCCCTGCTCCATGCCGGGGCTCCCCGAGTTCCAAGCCGGACCAGTCCTGCTCCATTCCAGCCTGGAGCGCGGGTGGCTGCCGTCCGGCGGCGGCCAGCCGGGCACACCAGGGTCCGGGCAGCCTCCTCCTCACCCCTTCCTTTTTGTTTCGGGACTCCGGGGGTCGCGTCGAGAGACAAACCCGGCGCTGGGACTCGAGGCGGCCCCGCGGTGCGGGGGCTGCGCCGCCGCGGTTCCCCGAGCCTTACCTCGCTCAAGCGCGGCGCGGAGCCCACACCGGCCCTGCACATCTTGCGTGCCCGCGGAGCAACTCCGGTGGGCGGGTTGGGGGGCTCGATGGTTTTAATGTTTCTGGTGCAGCTCTCCACCCCGTTTCCGATTCCCTGTAYCTCCTCCCAAACGCYCGCCTAGCCCGGCCCAGCCAGCGCYGGCGGGACACCCCCGCCCGCCGCCCCGGCCCTGCCCCGCCCGCCGGGGCGTGAGCAGCCGCGGGCGCTGCTGAGCCGAGCTGTCGGAGCCCGGGGGGCCGCACCGGAGGGCGTCAGGCGAAGAACTTCCCCGCGGGACCCCCTCGCCCTGCCGGCTCCTGGCCTGGCAGACGCCACCTCCCGCTACCGGGCGCACCCGGCATTCCCGGGAAGGAGGTGTTGGCACGGCCCGGCCGGCTCCCAGCACGGCCCCTGCGTCTCGTGGGATGCCGGGGGCAGTTGCCGCCCGCCCGCCTTTCTTGCCCTCCAYGAGTAGCACAGAAAGGCTATAGCCAAAGGCAGTAACCCGGAGGCTACCAACGTTCTCCCTCTTAGAGGACCGTGTAAGTCATGTTTAAGAAGCTCCCATTTTCTCACTACAGCCAGGTGTGTTTTTGCCCTGGCAGGCCCGGTGGCTGCCAGCCGCACTCGTGGCCTGTAGAGTGACTCAGGAGCGGCTCCTCCCGGGCAGGCAGCAGCCGATGGGGCGACAGTGGTACCAGGCTGCACGCTGGCAGAGCAGAAGCAAGAACTGACCTATRAGGGATAAACTCAGATCCTGCCACTGTCAAACAACACCAGGTGTTGGTGTTTCCACGTGCCAAAAACCCAACCAACCAATCCAAATCCAACCTCTGCATGTTCCGASGATGCTATAAAATACCTACATGTTTGAAAGTATGAAGAAGTTCTAAATGCATTTTTTTAGAAACAAAATTGGCAATGGCAACTACTTAACAATGTTACCACTGTGTTACATAAAGACAAAGACAGAAGGGAATTTAGTTTTTRCAATTCTTTCTCCCTTCTAACTTTTAAAAGAAAAACCACCTTTGGTGTATGTGGAATGCCAGCTCTTGTGGTATTCTACTGTTGCATTTACTGCAGAAATTTTCCTCTTCCTTCCTTCCTCTGCTCTTGTTAACTCCAAAGTGAAATGCAAAAGAATATCACAATAGGCCAGAGCTCAATATATTAGGTCTTTCAGTGTATAGCATCGTGCCTGTCAATTAGCAGTAGCAGTTGTTACGGGGAAGCAGCTTTCCTCTGAAAGACAGTATGAGTACTCTACCCTGAGGAAGAGGGTCCCTCTCTTATTTATGCCAATAGTCAYGCTTCAATTGCTCCACGCCTCTCCCAGAATGACTCAGATAAATTACACTGCCAAACAACATTTACTCTTCCACCACAAAGCTAGAAACTTGAAAAGATATTTAGCCTCCTGAGAGCCTGGAGGAAAATACAGCCGTTAAGTCACAACTGTCAAAAAAGGCACACAAGATAAATCATGCTTGAGGTTGACATATGCATCCCCTGCAACTGCCTGACATACCCTAGATATTTAAAGCTTTCCCCCTTATTTATCTAATATGTATAAAATACTAAATAAAAGTGCATTCATTAGGCATTTTCCTCTAGGAAATATTTCTCACATAGTTTTAAGTAAGAGGAATATATTAAAGGAACATGCTTTAATTAAAGGATAGAATGACTCAGGATTTCATGAGTCAGATGTGCAAGCTTTCATGTTCAGGCTATTGGTTACCAGCTGAGAGGACACCAACTCAAAAGACGTGACATCTAACAAATTAATTGTCAGAGGCTGTGTAAAGTCACAGAACCATAGAATGGTTTGGGTTGGAAGGGACCTTAAAGATCACCCAGCTGCTACTCTGCTGCCATGARCAGSGRCACCTTTCACTAGGCCAGGATGTTCAAAGCCCATCCAATCTAGCCTTGAACTTCCAGGGATAGGACCACCACTCTTTCTTGGGCAACCTGTTCCAGGGCCTCACCATCYTYATAGCAAAGAAATTCTTACCAATATCTAAACTAAAGCTACTCTCTCCGTTTGAAGCCATTCTCTCATCCTCTTGTACAACGACGCTCTTGTAAAAACTTCCTCTCCAGCTTTTCTGTAGGACCCCCTGTAGATACTGAAGTGCCACAATAAAGTAACCCCAGTCTTCTCCAGGCTGAACAAAGCCAACTGTCTCAGTCTTTCCTCAGAAGAGAGGAGCTCCAGCCCTGTAACCATTATTTGTGTCCCTCCTCTGGTCATGCTCTAACAGGTCAATGTCCTTTCTGTGCTGAGAACCCCAGAGCTGGACACAGCACTGCAAGTGGGGTCTCACCAGAGCAGAGCAGAGCAGAGCAGAGCAGAGCAGAGCAGAGCAGAGCAGAGGGGCAGAATCCTGTCCCTTGACCTGCTGCCCACACTGCTTGTGGTGCAGCCCAGAATGTAACTGGCTTTCTGGGCTACAAGCTTACATTGCCAGGTCATGTCCAGCCTCTCATCCACCAGCATCCCCAAGTCCTTCTTCATCTCTGCCTCTCTCAGCYTGTACTCATAGAAGGAGTTGCCCCAATCCAGATGCAGAATTGGGCAAAATATGCAGGCAGTTTCAGTTCCACTCCAAAAAGTTGGGTATTTGTATCACAAAAAGCATCATTAAACTTAGATGGCCACGCAGCCTTCCTGACATCTCAGCAGAAAGGAAACTAAAATWCAGCTCTTCACAAGCAAATGAAGCCAGATCAGCTGTATTTGCACTGAAGGCTGTCTAAAACCTCAGAGAAGATAGGTTAACATGGCTCAACTATACAGGTTCTAACCTGCTTACAAGGGCTGAAACACAAACACAGGTAATGTCAGGTTGGTCCTGTCAACTCTACCAAAACTTTAGTTGCTGGTGCTTACTTGGGGGGGGAGGGGGGGAGGTTTACAGCAGGGTTATACTCCAGCCTCACAAGAGAACAAGCCACCAACAGAATGAGAACTCTTTTTCTCAGTACCTCTCCAACTGCCTGGTCCACTGATAAGGAAGCTTGCACTTCTACTACAGAAATCCAGWGTATATACAGCTCCTTTGAGAACTCGACTCTGGAACTGCCTACGGTCAGAATAATGAGAAACAACAACACAGTGTTACTCATGCGTTTCAGAAATAACCAGAATGCAGGTCTTGGTCAAATGCTAGCAGGAGGGCTGCACACATCAGGACACCGAACTGACATTTAACAGATGCTCCACCTGGGTAAACTGGTTGAAAAAAATGTTCTGCAACATGTCTACTAGCCTAAAGAGGCAGATGCATTTTTTACAGGGATCCTGAGTATCTATATACTCTTAGGTAATTTTTAGAATGAGCAGAAAGTCACGTTTTAGGGAATGCCAACAACAACAAAATAATACTGACTGCATGTGACAACCAAAGTCCTTGTGGAACTTCCAGCGAGAACTCAGTGTGGTGGGGATTGCAGAAACCTGGCTAGTCACAGAGCCATTTCCTTACAGGTAAATGCTTTGATCTTGTCAGAAAAGAAGCTGCAAGCCGGGGTCCACCCAATGCCTGCATACCAAAAGACTGATGGCCTCTGACACCACCAGATCAAACTCTCCCAGTGCTGCTGGACAACTCACAACTGCATCAGAGGAATGTCTGAACACTATCCATCTTGAAAAGACAGTGACAATCCCTGCAAGACAGATTAGCAAAGGATTTTTCTGCAACAGGTAACTCTTTTGCACTTTCAAAAGTCTTTTTTCCATATAAGCAAAAACTATTTTTATTCATTCTGATGTCACAAAGGGAAACATTCCTCTCTGAAGTGCTGGGTCATGACAGGAAATCCATGAAATAGTACCAGAGTGCAGGTTTGCTCATCGAGAAAATATCAAGACTGGCCGGAAGAATCCCCCAAAATTCTCATGACTAGAAAAAATATAAAAGTTAGATTTATATTTCTGCCACAATCCCTGAATGAATATTCCATATTTTGAATAATTTGTCCAGATTTATACGCATTGTAGCATGCTCCTGTGTGTGCCTTCAAATAACAAATACTTTTCAAAATCTGTAAGGAAAAGATAACCCCAACTAATTRTTCAAATTGGTTCAAATGACATTTAAATGAAGTACATGCAGGCAGTACATGCAGTCTCTCCATACTGGGAGACCATACCAGAAAGTTCCAAGAGAGCAGAGAAGACATTGAAAGTATTTCTGGTTCTGTAAAAAGGCTACAATCAGTATATTAAATTATTTTATTAATTTGTCAACATAAGAGTAAATACAAACCATTTATATTGATTCTTGAGTGACACTGAGATACCTAAAGAGAACAATTTAGATTTATTGTTCAGTTTAAAATTAATTAATGTTTCAGTTGCATGACTTTTCCAGTTTTGCATGATCTGGTTTTAAATTATTCTTTCCACAGTGAATAGGTTAGATGAACTAATTTTCTGTTTATATTCATAGTGTTCAGAAATTCTACATCTTCTTTCCTCAGATTAGAATCAAAAACCTGGTTTGGAGAAAAAGAACAACATGAGAACATTGCAAAGACTAAAGCACACATTCAGTATTAGTATTATATAACTTAATTGGTCTGGTTTTAAGTTTTTGATATTGATAAATAATGTTAATTAAATGCCCTTTTTTTGTTTTAAAAGGCAATTGTAAAAAGTTTATTATATTAATTTTTGGGACAATCTCTACTTTATTTTTAAATCACTAAGCTGCATATAATATTATGAGAAGCTCAAGTATGAAGGGAAACAAGTGAAGTAGCTCAAAAAGTGACATGCAATAGTTTGCATGGACATCATTGTATATGGATCAATCATTAACAGGATGGTGAAAATGCTAATATACTCCTGAACTTGCTATTMGTAGTTCAACCATAGAATGCTTCTCAAAGGGCACTGGCCGGCCAAGCCACTATTACCATCACAAACATTCCTCTTGGGCACAGGGATTGAGATCTGCTACAATCCGTCAGTGCCCTGCTCCTTTGAGAAGCACATCCCACAGCTTTGGCCACACCTACAGTGCCTTRCAGAGTGATACCCATGTTACAACACTGGGAAACACTGTGCAAATACTCAACAYTTTCTTTCAAGTGTGTAGATACCTTATTGGAAGCTGCAAAAAGTTAAAAAAAAATAGGTATAGTAACACAAAAAGTTATCAGAAGGTTGGCTTATCTATTGTTTTTACCCAATACACAATAGTGAAAAGTAAGCTTCAAAGCTTTGGAAAGGTGCAGCAATGTGGAAAGAATTAACTGCCTTGGATTCAATCAGCAGCAACAAGAGCTACACCACCTTTACTCCCATTTTCAAAAGCATGGCTTAACCACATTGCAAAAAAAAAAAAGGTGTGAATATTATCAAGCTGACTTGGCCTAGTAAATTTGTCAACTTACTGGTATTTCAGCTTCCTTTTTACATATGTAGTCAAAAAATAATGCCTTGGAAGTCATATTGGGGAGACAGGTGTCATAGAAACGTTTCTGCAGCCTGATTAAAATCAATTCCTGAATACACACTTTAAAAATCCATTTCCATTATTTTCCAGTGAAACATTCTTAGGTGCCTTCATCTCCCGTAATATAAGAGATGAAAACCAGAAAGAAGCAAAAAAAAACAAAAAAACAAGAGAGGGAGCTACTCAGAGTCAGGCAGGAAGCTACTTGGCTGCACAGAAAATGGCCTCACCCTTTCCACTAACTTTTAGTTTATATTTTTCTTTTCCTTATTTGKTTCAAGAGGGTTTCCTTCCATTAGGAGTCACAGAGCTCCCGCAAAGGCAGCTGACTGCACTTAGGCAGATAGCACTGATAAATTGCATCTTATTTTAAGTAATGGTTTATCTCAACTGAAAAGGAGTGCCCCAATCAGTCACKACCATAAATGACATAATGATAGGGAAGAAAAAGTGCCTTCAGTTTTGTGGCGTATTCCCTGATCCTACTGGCAAGAAGATGGGTTACTCAGACGAATTTGATGCATTGCTGTACTTTAAAAAGGGTCATTCTAGAAAGGCAAAAAAGTTTTCTRTCTAGGTGAAGTTTATCTTACAGAAATAAGAACAAGAAGAGGAATTTCAGCCCTGGGGAAGAATATGCATATAATTTCAAGAATTCACTTGAGGGATAAATTCTGAGTTAAAAACAAAATAAAATCTTTAAAAAATGACCACCTCCAGGCTAACTGACCAAAGAACAAATAAAAAATGGAAATAAACTTCCTGGTATTGTATGTCCAACACTTTTATATCCTTTTGGTCTTCTGTGTTCTGCTTCTATTACCAAACGTCATTCCTCCCTGCTACTCCTAAATCTCGCTAGTGTTCACTTGCCAATTTCTTATTAGTTGTCATATTTTGATCACTGTTGGCAGAACTTTAGAAAGTTTCATTCAGATGAGGTGAYGTGGACTTATTCTTCAGCAGCCTTTGCTTAAGAAGAAAATGGTCACCATGAGAGTAATGCCAATGTAGTTGTAGATAGAAGCACAAAATATTAATCCAATGAGTCYGTCTTTCCTTCTGCAACCTCATCAAAAGTAAAAGAGGACTTGCTCAATGATTCTGAATTAACAAACACTGATAAAAGTTGTGAATACCACATTCAAAGGAAGAGGCTACAGTGATATATCCCAAGGCCACAGGAGATAACAGGTTTTCAGTGTCTTAGGCAACTATAGCTTCTGGCAGAAAACAATGGCTATTAGTGAGGCACAATGTGCAAAACTGCTCATCACACCTGGGGGAAAGATAGCGCGGGTCAGCTGAGTCCCAGCAYGTAAAAAGCTTATACTGCCTCAAATTATRCTTTRMTTTWWGCWSWGCWWAAAKYAAACTCTTCTGTAGTTCTAAAGCCACTAATTGGCAGCAATGGAAGTGCTAAGAAAGATTACAAAATAATAATGAAAAAACCCCACCAGAGAAAAAAGTCTTGAACCAACAATTCAGCCCGAATGTAATTAGAAAAGTAGCAGATGAAAACTGTAACCGGCCACAGCTACTCCTTAAGAAGAATGTTTTTTTAGTAATACTATTTATGATTATTCCTCTCATAACTCATTGCCCTACTTAGATACCATAACCTAGACTGAGAAAATGGTAGCTTGTGTTCCTTGCAAAAGCGGGTGTAGACACCAAAGACATTGTAAAATCTCTTTGACAAGAAGGAACACTGAAACATTAATGAATTCAAAGCCATTCTCACAGTAGACCAAAATCCCCTGTGTGGGGCATTAGCAAGGAAATCTGGTTTAATTCCAGCTAACTCAGAACAGAGAGGTGATCAGTCAGAATCAAGTGCAAAAAATCCAGAACGGTACTAACCAGTGTGGGACCTCTAGCCACGCAGCTAATCCTAACTGACCCTGTTAYGGTAATACTGGAGCTAGATTTGCTAATCTCCATAAACATTTGGCTCCTTGGACACACCATTTGTGTTGGAAGCAGTACGTTGATGTGATGTCTATCTTTACAGAGAAATAGAAATGAAACTTGAACATGTGTTTTGTAAATTCTCAGAAAGTCATCACTGCCAAAAGCCATATTTAGGGAATATTAGGCACATGATGCACTTCKAGTCCTTGTTTTATGAGTTCAGGTACACTCGGAAGCAAGGAGTCCCTCAAGAATAGAGTTTGATTTTTTTTTCTATTGTTAAGGTAAAGTCACTAAAAAGTGACTTTTGAAAAGCGCTATYAGCAGATAGCCACTGGTAGAAAAGTTTATTTCTGGACAATTTTTCCAGCTTTCACTTAGTCATTGCCATACTTTCCTGAAAAAGCTTTAAAAAACCCTAAAAATTACCTTATTTTTATAAATGAGCCTTTCTGTTTGGAACTATTCAACCCCTCATGACAACAGCCAGGTACAGAGCTGTTCTTAGACACCTAKAGTGGCATCCCAGGTACTGAGGCCYCCTGGACTTCAGGCCATGCTTGAAACTAGAAAATAACCTTGCAGTGGAGATTGTGTGACTTTCTTGGAACTGTGCAGATATTAGTGAACAGCACTTCATACAATGTCTTGTTTTTTATAAAAATTATTCTAGAGGCAAATCTAGACAAATTCTTGCAGCAAAGTTTACCAGAAAAAAAAAAYGAGACAGTAGTTCTGAGGAGCTGTTATCCAAAAGGTAATTTTTTCTGCAGATTTTAGTCAAGCTGTATAGAAGCTCTACACTTTGAGGACAAACAATGCATGTTAGAATATACGATTGCTCTAAGTCACTTCTTGATAAAGAGCTAAGGAGCTTTGTTTCATGATATGACTAAAGCAGAACAGCACCGGGAAAACTGCCTCAGGAAGTCCACACACAATATAAATCATTATCAGATTTTCCATACCTTTCTAGACACAGGAACTCCTAAAATATCAAACCAWTGCGACTAGAAGTTGAATACTAAACCAACAGATTCTGCAGGCATATTTCTCAAAACAGATCTGTGAGCTAGATTKATCCATATTTATCTCTTTATATATACCTCTTTTGTAAGAAAATCTAAGGAATGGTACAGTCTCTTCATGAGATTTCCTGAATAAACCCAGAATGAAAGCTAAACGAATTCTCACCAAAAGCTACAGCAAACTCACCCCCATTTCCAGTAAGTAATAWGAAAGATGTCTCTTTAGCTCTTGGAGCTCGGTGCTCAACTCTTGGCCCTGCAAATAGCTTATTTGTGCATGGACTTGTCTGGAAAGATTTCTACTTTGTTTTATCTACAGGTTAYTAGTAAAAGGCATAGAACTCTCTGAGTCAATGCCATACTAACACTGTGATAGGCATAAATCCTTTTTTGGTGACACTCAGATATTAGGCATTACAATGAGATTATATTTTTGGTGGAGATCTGCAGAATATTGTACAACAAAATACTGTTATGATAATGGCATTAACATGTTTTTTCACCCAGCTTTTTCTTCTTCATACATTGTATCTCTCTAGCAAAGTACTTGAAAAAATATTTCATACCTAACATCTATGTTGTACACTAACAGGGAGCATTTTTGCCCCACATTTTAAGGAGTAGCTCCTCACRTGCTTTGCTTAAATGGCCTGGTGCAGGGTCCATGGTATAAATAGGAGTCTTTGCATGGACTTCAATGAACTAAGGAATAGCATTTGAGATGGAAAAACAAGATCTCTTTGGGGGTTGTACAAAAGTGCTACCCTCAAAAATATTTTTTATGCCGTCAATGTTAAGGATTTCAAATCACTTACCATTATTAGCAGACACTACTATCACAATTACATTCTTACTGTAACCTTCCCTGAATTTAAAGTACAAGACTCACTGATTCCCGAGAAAGGAAAAAGGCTCAAACCTTGATTCACACAATATGACTTGGATCCCACGAAACGTGTCTCCCATCATGCATTCCATTCAGAATTTCAACATCATCTTCTGCTATTGTAAAATCAAACACCTGAGGAAATGCATATTTAGTTAACATCATGGACACAGAGAGAATCAACAACCTGATATATATTCTAATATTTAACTAACCAAGATTCATTTAAATGTGAGGCTCTATTTTATATCCTTTTCATTCAGAAAATTTGACTTATATYTTGTCATAGAAAAATACTCCATCAAGCTGACAGGCTCCACTGGGTCCTTTGCTCCTTTAGTGACTCATTTTTATTTGTACAGTACGTTAAGATGGTTTTGTAGCACTCTGGCCTCAGGCAAGGGTTGGAGACAAGGGTAGGATCAAAGCTGGTTTTGACAGCCCTCTCTATTGTCACTGATAGAGGTATAGGAATTTCCTGAGAGCAATCTCTTTGGAAGAATGAGCTCAGTATTTCACTTACATCCCAGTGTTCAGTTTAGAGTGTTACAGTTTGCTTTCTCAGAACTTCAAAGAGAATTATTAGAAGATCAGGACATTCACAAAGGTAGCAAACCAAAGGCTGYGTCTATCTTTTCTATGATTCTACTTTGACAAGGTGAGCTCTCACAGGTGAGCTAAATACACAGAGTGATACAGTRCCTCAGTACTAACTCAAACTTGGAAACAATCACCTGTCTTCAAACACAGGTTCTTACAGCCACTGACTTCTCCTGTGGTTAGACCTGCAATGCGAATGATGGTGTCAGTGCTCTCTTAGCAGGTATCCTATCGAGACATTATCAGCAGGAAGTTGCTTTTGTTGTCTTTGAGCTCCTCCATGCTCAATAAAAAGATTCTGTGGAGCCTGAACTGTAGCCAAATGAGCTCCTCCCATCCTGCGTTATCCAGCAACCACTGTCTCCTGGAACAATCCTTGTAGTCAGATCTCTGTGCTCTCTCAAGCCTTTTAAGCCTAAACCAGGCACCAGTCACAACTAGAAACACTATGTATTATATACTGAGGCTTTAATGAGRACTAACTTGACCAGAAGTGGCAGAGACTCAGGTCAACACACCCTCAGCATGAGGGGAAGAAAAAAAAGGGAGATGTGATAAACAATGCTTGGTAATTGTGCCAGTTCCTTCCCCTCTCTATCTTAAGTCTTATAAGTTTGGATGCAACATATTCCCTCAGTTGTGTGAAATGAATTGATAGTGTCATAGAAGAAACTCTGCAAACAGTAAAATTAATCTGGATTTAAAATATCATCGGGGAAAATAAAAGTATAAGGAAGGACGAAGGATTTTTAAACTGGTTGTGCTCTCTGTTCTGGTTCCCAATATAGTACCACAAGTAGCTGTGCTTGTACCACAGAAGGCAGTGTGTATGTCAGAATAAACAGTCAAGGCAGGAGCTATACAAATAAGCATGGCCACCAGCAGAAATCCTCATTACATGTTATTGATTTACACCAACACACACACACACACAGAAGAATAAAAATAGCAGACAGAAGTTTCCTGTCTTCTTGCAAAGTTTCTTCCTGATTTGCCGAACAGTTCATACCCCTATGATATTTTTGGAAGCAACAATAAGTTGTTGTGGTTTTGCCTCCTCTTAAGAAAAAACACTCTCAGATTAGAGAATCAGAGAGAAAAATCAAGTAATGAATTAGAACTATTTTGTACGAAAAGGAAATAAAAAARAGTGTGTGGGAGGAATCATGCTGGCAATTCTCATTCATTCACGCTTTTCTTTGACCATCCCTTCATGCTGAACCTTTTCTGCATATTGAGCAGAAGGAAGGAGGTAGGGGAAGAGTCAGCTCTGGCAGGACTGCAATTTCCTTGGAAGGTTCCCCATCCTGGAGAGTTATCCCCAAGTGAGTTTTAATGCTTTCATAAACTATTATGCATAGCATCCAAACTCCTTCCATTTGACCTATGTGCCTATCACAAAAAGAACATAACCATAACCACATTAGGATGCTCTACAACCAGACAAGTAAAAAATAGAAATATTAAGAACTAAAATAAATTACAAAAGGCCTTGTATGGATTTTTCTTTAYACACAGTGTGTTTTTTTCCTACACTGTGGTCATTTTATGGTACCATCATTTGCTAATTTTGACTGAGTTGCCCCAGTATAAAACTGGTATAGGAAAATGGGAAGGCAAACCAAAGTAYTAAAAACTGTTACTTGGATGTTAGTCGGACTTGAGTGCATAGCCAAATCTTACCTTGCAGTTTTCCTCTATCCGTTCTGCTTTTGTTGACTTTGGAATAGTGACAATCCCATTCTGAAAAGCATAATGTTTCTCATCATTAACATCTACAGTTTTGAAGAAAATTATCTGTTTKCAAAACATTTCAAGAAATTCCTCGTGTCTTCTAAAGTTTTATTTTCATTTTCTGGGGGACACTGGCATTTCACTACGAGACTTGCAACTGCAGTTATGTATGTGTTGATTTCCAATATACATTTTATGGTTTAGATCAACTTAATACATTATTTCAGTACTTAGTACTTTCTGTTAAGTGACAGAAATGGAATCATGAGGGATACTACTTGTAACGTTTACTTTTGAAACATCGCTTATTGGTGGCTCTTATTCTCCACAATCAGGTAATTTAAAATCATTAATATTTGAAATATTGGCATGATTTGTGTACTACATTACAAATTTCCAGYAGAGCAGTCAGTTCACACAGTTTCCTACTGAAAGCAGGAATATTTTTTGTATAWATTCTGCTTTGATGCACAAACCCCAAACTATTTGCATTTTTTTCCTGAGAAAGGAGACACACTTTTATTACCACCCTCCATTACCTGTATGCTCCAGCGTATACAAATCTGTGCTGGAGTTCTGCCATACTTCTTTGCCAGCTGAATGATAGTAGGATGAGTGAGCGCTTCACCTTTGGCTAAAGGACAGTAGCCTTCAAAAACAATATCTCTGCTTCTACAATAATCAACCAGCTCCTGAGGTCTTTGGAAAGGGTGGTATTCAACCTTAGACAAACAGAAATAAACCTTTAGTAAAAACCCTGAGAGGACATTTCATAGCAAACACCACTGATAAAGGRAAATAATTTTTCTCGTTTTAAAAACACAACATGCATGAAATCATTGCTTCTGGGAAGTAGATGTCAGGTTTTGGYTTAGAAGACACATGAAGGGTATTAATCAACAAGTATTTTACCAGTAATTGGCACAACAGTGAACTGTGTACTTTATGTTTCCCTCAGAAGCAAGGTGCAGTTGGACTTCCATTACCACTCTGCATTTGAGAAATACATACAAATGCACAGTGGAAGTCATTTTAATTGGTGCTTTGAGACTACCTTCTCTTCCCCAGATTTGTGTCCTTTCCTGTTTCTTTAGTAATGATTCTTTCTAATGATCTTTGAGTTTCACAGGCAAGGGGAGGGGGCTGAGCAGGGGCTGGGTTTGCAAGCAACCAACCAGAACAATTTGCTTACGATGAGAACCTGACCTTGGAAGCAAAGGCTGTTGGCATGGATTGCACATGGCAAATCCTGTATTTTGTGTGTGGTGTCACCATCAGCTTAGGCAGGGAAGCAATCACGCTGTGGAATGAAGTGTGAAGAAGACCCTTTGTTGAAAGGAAGATCACAAATTGCCAAGAACCAGTTAAAAGAGGAAAAGTAACAAGCTACAAAGACACAGTTGTTGGGAGCAAGAGGAAAAAGAAGTTATTGGGCAGTAATGATCTCAGAGGAGAGACATATTCTGGTATGTAGCTAAAACCAAAAGAGAAACTCTGTAATATTCTTCAAGTTATTTAAATAAGTATTTCACAGTTTATRCATTGTAAGAAGCATACATTCTTCTGCATTTAGATGAAAATGGGTAGTGTTTTCTCATACAAAATATATAATCATGTGATGTATTTTTGTGACTGGTCATCACCATTGTTCCAGAGATCGAACTCTTGCGCATTTTGAAGAAAAATACTCTTCTGAACAATTACCTCAACACATGGAATCTGGAAAATTTCTTCTGCCACAAGAGGACAAATGAACAYTTCCTGTTTCTCATCTTTAGTACATGTTGTCTTTTCAGACAACAATAGTCAGGAACAATAGGCTGGCAGTCATTCAACATGAGCTAAGAAAAAACTGTGCCCCTGGAAGGCTGGGCTGAGTCAGCYTAAAGCTGCTATGATCTAAATTACTAGGTGGACTCGGGAACAAGGTTCAAGCAGCAGACATCCATGTCTTCAACCTTTGATGTTTCTTGACCTTTGAGTACCCTTTGTATTTCGTGTTTTATATGTGTAAGACCAGYGCTTAGGTCATACAGTTATTCACTTGTTTGCACCTGAGCCGACTACAAAATATTCTAATTGTATCTACGCAAAACTAYGAAAGAGCAAGCAGGGTGTATGACTCAATTATTATGAGAGTAGTAAGTAATTTTAGCAGATGTTCTTTACACTAAATACAGCAAATAAYGTAGCTCAGAAAATATTAAATAAAGAATTACGTATTTAGGATCAAATGCTGAAACATCTGCAGTATCCCTATGGCGTAATGTAACCTATTCAGCATTTACTACTAATATAACTGCAAGCAGAATTTACTTGCTGGTTTGTAAGATTCCAGGCAGCACAGTTCCAGGTTACACCAGAAATGTTTAAATCAAGAGCAGTATGCTGAGAGAGCACCTACCTGCTTCACAATCAGAATACACAGCAACAACTACTTCCCACCTTGTGCCTTTCATTGAATCAATAMACTCCCAAATTTTGTGAATCAAATTTTGCCATGGGCAGTTATGTGTTGGTAGAAGCAAGCATTTTTCTTTGAAAATATTTTACTAAAATAATCAAATGCATAAAGTAAGCACTTTTGAATTTAATTTTTTTAAATGAAAACAATTGGGAAGGTTCTAGGCGCATCTGAATGCCAAAGACTAGGATCCTGAGCTACAAGAGGCACAAGGTGAGCGGTCACATTTGCCTCCCCTCAAAATAACAATTCTTACTTCCTGCCTTGCCCCACCCTTGCTATTTTCGTCACCAGACCTTTCTCAGGCAAGGTCTGTCTGTCACATGATGGTAGATGAAGATCTTGATCTTTTCTGGCACTCTACCTCGATTGATTTGTGTGTAAAAACTGGCATCTGTTAAACAGAACAGTTTGCAGCTCACATTACAGAATTACACAGCTGCTACTTGCTCAGCCACAGGGGACATCCAACCAAAGTGCTGTTTTTTCACAACACTCAGTGCAAATGGGGAAAAGTTAAGCCTAATAACAATCCTGACACATGCACACCTCAGATGTATGTGTGCACGGAGGCCTTACTCTTTCCACCCTTCTATGGGTCCTTTTCACCTGGTAAAGTTTCTGCACATCTGGAATTCAGTAATTTGCTCAATGGAAATGCTGAGCCTTACAATTATTTCTGTTTATGAAACAGAAATACAAGCTATAAATATTTTCTCTACAGAGGAACAGTTCAGGCGAGTTTATGTAGAAAGGGTTTGTTTTCTAATTCCTCATATACATTTTCACCTTGTAAAAATTAACATAACAGAGCTCAATATTARTGGCAATATCAACAACGTAACAAAGTTTCTCTGAGGTCATTATAGACAGCAATTTGCACTTCTTCAAGTGGAAAATATTGACAAGCATTCCTACATGGAATTCGTGGAGGAACAGTTTATATTTGGTTTCAGTGCATCATCTTAGTAAATGAAACATACATACTTATTAAATGCTTCTAAATTTTTTTTTCCCCATAATGAGTGAAAGGCCTATGAGCCTTTAGAGAGACTTCAAAGAACATAAATCCAAACTTTCTACTGCCAAGTGAATTACAAATTCTGGCACACAAACCTGGAGCTTCTGGATTGCAATTTTCACTCTACATGATGCTAGAACAAAGTACCATCATTTTACAATGTTTACCAGTACTTTTAACAAGATACTGAAATTTTAAAAAGTGCTGGCTTATTAATAAATAACTTAGCAATAGTATATTCTTGAAAATACAGGCCTTTCCTACTTCTTTAAAAGAYATGACAATACCAGGAACTGGAGAAGAAAGGCAGTACTTAATACTTGGTTTGTAAAACAGGAATATTGCTTACTTCTCTTGCTTTCCTATTTTCTCCTTTTCACAGAAAAAAACCGCAAAACTTTCAATTTTAAYATCATAAGGACTGTTGTAATTGTAAGAACACCCTGAATTCTAAAAGGGAAGTGATTTTCCTCCACTTGTTTCTTCAATATTTAGACATTGTATACAATGTCTATTTGCAAATGTTTTGTATTTAATAAGCCCATTAAGAGAGTACACKATTTGATGCATAAATAGTGCAAATAAAACTGTATTATAAATTGTGAACAGTGAAATAAGAACTCCGTACAGCATTTCCAGTCCCAATACGATTTTAGGAATTCAYTAGTCATTTGATGCTGCTTACGTAATTTCACCATCAGACTCAGTAACACTACAACACTAAGCAAGAAACAGAATAAATATTCTTTTGAGGATAACCTGAAGTATGGCTTATAWGATTTCTATAACTCTAAAAAAAATAGAAAATAATTGTCTAACAAAACTGTTCAAAGTGGAGCACTTTGCAGTGGTATGGGAAATTCATTGTTGGTTTTTGCTTTACATTMAGAACAATGTTGCGTAGGACCTCAAAGAAATGACTAGTAGGGRTCCTCTCCCACCCTTCAGTATCACCACCACCTCAACTTTTTGTCTCCTCTTTTTCAGCCTCAGAGAGTTCAGTCAAATAGCACCAAGAAACATGCTGTCTCCATGGACACTACTGAAGCAGTAAGACTGGTAAAATTTTGACGCTGTAGGAAGGA